AGGTAGTGAACGAAGCTCCGAAGAGCCTTCCTTTGAGAACGACCCGAGTCGGGTAGCTCGGTTACCACATGCCCAAAAATATACTAAACAAATTGTATTTTTTTTTTTTGTAGTGATCTAATGATCACTTTTTTCTTACCATGTTTTAGTTAATTATTTTCTCTCTTTTCAATAATTTATTAATTTATGATCAATGATTGCGTATCAAATTTCGTCTGAAATAATAGATAATTAAGAAAAAAAAAAAAATTAAAAGCACAAGAGATAATTTTTAGCGTCGGTTCGGCTCTAATCCTAGAGAATATAGGATACAGGAGTGATTCCCAAGCAATTACTTACACCAATAAATAGCAATCCTCTTATGTGTTAAATAAATTGTTCATATGAGACCATACTCAAATATCTTATTATGGCTTGCATTGTTCAACAAGCTACGTCCACGCCGCCTGACCACGACTACGACTGCGGCTGGATCGATCCCGATTTTACCGAAATAATTGAGAACCAACTCGTTGACGAAGACAACGACGTCGAAGAGCACACGCGGCTGGAGAGCGCGCTGGGAAGGAGGTGGACTGCCAACGACTCGCAGCGGGTTGTCGGGAGGATGGACAGGGAGATGGAAGCCCTCGGTCCGGAAGCCTTGGCACTCTACGAGGCCCGCTTTCTGGATGTGGTCACGGACCCGGAGTACGAGCACGTGTGGGAGCGTGCAATCTGCCTAGATATCGACTACCTGAGGGCCCAAGGCTCGCTAGGGCCAGACACGGAAAAGGACGGCCTGGTCTTGGAAATTTGGTCGGAGGTGGAGAGGTTTATCGACACGGGAGCCGTTGTTGATGATATAGAACTGGGGAGCGGTGTGAGCGAGGAGGCTTTGTCGAGAGGGCTGAAGAGGAAGCGGGGGAGTGGGGAGATGTGCGTGGTGTGCCAGGACTCGCTTGGGGACGGGGAACAAGTGGCGGGCCTCGGTTGCGGGCACGACTACCACGTGGACTGCATCAAGCAATGGCTGAGGGAGAAGAATGTCTGCCCGCTTTGCAAAGCCAGAGCCGTACAAGAAGAAGAAGAAGATGATGATGCATAGCATAGACAAGAGAATGTAATGAATGAGTCATTCATGTTTCCATGTTGTAGAATTATTTCAAGCCAAAGTTTAATGAATGAGTCATTCAATTTTCCCATTTTACACAAAGAATGTATTCATTTTCGTCCACATGATAAGGCATCTTCGTGAAAAATGTCCAAGGGTGGCATGGACTTTCCTTGCTCTGAAAAAACCTGAGATCAAGCTTCTCTAGGATAACGAGTTCCTCTCCGGCGTATGGTCAAACGTAGCCGTGGCTCGATATATTCAGCGACCTTTGCATCGGCATCCACCATGTCATATTCTGCCACAACGGTTTCTCATGTCCTGAGGAATTTAGTAGAAAATATCCTCTGCCTTCCGAAGCTCATCCCGGTTGAGATAGGATGCTGATCATGGGAGGCATAAGATACCTTGTATCGTTCAGGCATTTCGTCGAACACCTTGCTCAATAGATGTTCAATACCTGTTAAAGTTTTCTGCTTTATGGCTTTGGCTGAACAAATTTGGGACTTTCACATTGCTTTAATTTTATCCTATCTGAATTTGATCAATATGCCAGTTCTGTTTCTTTTGAAGGAAATTTTCTTTCGATATTTTTAAGGAAAATTGTGTCCGTGATGATTTTGGATTACACGAAAATCCCTTCGTTTATGGGCTATAATAGTGTTCTTAATCCAGGCAGTGTGTTTTTAATCTAGGCAGATTCACATTTTGTGAAGTAATTGTGTTCTTATTAGAATTGTAAAATGTAAGATGATATGAATATTGGATAAGTTATTTAAGAAAAAAAATATTTGGAAATAGAAAGTATTAGGGGTGAGATATCTGTTTTCGAAAGGTGTCCGGATGTGCTGAGATAGCTACCCGAACTGCCGTGTCGTACAACACATACAGAAGGTGTGTCAGAGACGATTACGAGATATATATGAACTAATCAGGTCATGCTGCGTGTTCACACCACATGAAAATTTGATTCCCGTGAGATCTTCTCGAATAATCGACCAACTCCAGCTTGATTTAAGGTAAAACGTTGACTGCTCCAATCTGATCCTTGGTCACTCAGATGACCATCTACTGCTATAGGCCGACTTATGTCATTTAAATTTATTATTACTCTGTTATTTATTTATTATTTGTTACAATTTATAATAAAAATATAATGTATTTAGTATTTTTTTATTATAGAAATATTTATTTCAAATCCCATAATCCCATATAGTACACGGTGCCTTACTAGTTAATATTATAATCAACTTTCTTGTTTTTCTGTCCATTTTGGACTAGTTAATGATTATAATAACACCGTTGTTCTTATGTCATTATGTACCAAACCCTGAACTGAACTGAAGCGGTAATTAACTACGTTAGTCAAATACTTGTGGTAGAATTAATAAGTATTATTTTTTTTTTTTCTTTCTTAAAGGGATCAATACTGATTCTCTAATTCTCTCCGGGTGACTCGAACTCGAGACATGGTACACGTCGAGCGAAGATACGCGTCACTGCGCTAAAAAAAAGGATGACTGTAAGAACGAACAAAACAAAATTTATTCTGATACAATTGACAAAAAAAAAATTGATATATGATATGAAAATGTACGGTCGATTTAAAGTAATGTGAAGTGTAAGAGATGTTTATTACATATATGTAACATCGTGAATATTAATTAAATTAGATAGAGTATCATATATCATGTCATTAAATATTACCACTGTTTGTCCTATTTTTGTGTCTTTATTTTGGGTTTATTTTCTCTTTATTTTTCCCCACTTATAGGATTTTTATAGGTTATTTGGTCCAATTCTGTGATTTTTCCGTTTTTCTCTTTAGTTCGTTTTGTCCGTCTTTTTTTGTTGTGTTTTGCTTCGTGTTTTCTTCGTGTTTGTGTTTTCAGGAGGTAGGTTGTGTGAATCGAGGACGGGACTACTTGAGCTTAGGCCGGGATATCAAGAATACCCATTGACGGGCCCAGAATTTTGAAGGAAGGACCGAAAAAACGGACTGAAGAGCTGCCCAGGACTTCTCGCGACTCGCGAGACAGTATCGCGACTCGCGAGATGGTCGCGACTCGCGAGAATGTCGCGACTCGCGAGTCCAACAGAGACGAAAAAGAGCTGTTCGCGAGGAGAGCCGCGACTCGCGAGCCAATGTCGCGACTCGCGAGGTGATGTCGCGACTCGCGATCCAGGTCGCGACTTTCCCTAGAAAATAAACATTTATCGAAGACGCGCGACTCGCGAGATGTCGCGACTCGCGACTCGGCAAAATTGGATGTCGCAACTCGCGACTTATGTCGCGAGTCGCGACTTGATCGGCGCGATTTTCGAGGACGGGATTTTAACATCAGAATTTCGACCTAGACATTATTATTCACGTTCCGGACTTCGTTTTTTGGCTTTTTCTCTCTAAAAACTCATTCTTTTTCATACTTTTGCTCTTTGGATTGAATTTTGGAGATTAAAACTCTACTTCTTGCTTGGATTTGGATTGTTATGTGGATTTGACATTGGGATTCGTTATTAATCGTAAGTTTTTCTTTTCTCAATTGTGTGATTGATGATGATGGCTTGGGTTTGTATGAATTTTGATGTTGAATTCCATATGAGTGGCTAAATCCATACGCTAGGGATAGGGGATGATTGATTAGGTTCGATTATAATTGCTTGTTCTTGATTGTTCAATCTAGTCAAGTTGTTCTTATTCTAGGGTTAGTAGATTGATCACCTTTCTAACCTAATTAATCAACGTGTAGAACCGAGAGGGGAGACGTTGGTCGATATAGGCTTGTTTAGAGTAGACTTGTTCGTAATAGTATTGTCTATGGGTTGTTGGAATTGATAGTTGATCGTGTACGTTCACTCTCTTGTTACGAAGAGTTATTGAGAGTGAGCCTCTGGACGAGAAACGATTCAAGTCCCTTAACCAAGCAATTGATTGCCGGTAGTTGTGTTAGAACCGAAAGCAATTATCCCCGATTCCCTAGCTCTTTATTCATTTGAGTTAGTTCACTTGCTATTTAATTTGTTTACATTAGTTTTGAATCTTTAGTTGATAATTAAAACCCTAAAATTATTGAATAGAGTGTTTAGGAATTTTTCTTTTCTTTCTCGTGATCGAATAATCGTACAATTGAATCCGGCTAACCTTCCTTGCGATACGACCCGGGGAACGAATCTTTCGATTCTACTCCGGTAAAAATACTCACAACAAAATTTGGCGCCGTTGCCGGGGAGGGTTTAGGACTTTAATTGTGCGCCTATTCATTTTTTTTTTTCGTGTTTCTCTTTGTTTTTAGTGTTAATAGTTTTTGTTTTTGTTTGATCGTTTTCCTTTAGTTAATTATTTGTCTATCTGGTGCTCGTGACGGTTTCTTTTGTCTTTGTATGCGTACCAGGAGTGGACGCGTACTGTCTCCTATTGACAAACCGTTCAGCGAGAGCCTGAGAGAGCTACTGGAGGAGATTAATCTGGAACCTAAGGAGGAAGACGAGCATTCTCTGAAATCGTCTGAAGGTAGCAATTCCGATATGGGTGAACAGCAGCAACAACCACCCCGTAACACCCTCCGCAACTTAGCCCAGCCGGTTATCTGGCCAATCACTTCATGCATTCGTTTGCCAGATGTTGCTCGAAACTACGAGCTTAAGATGATCCACTATAACCAACTGCCAGCATTCCACGGGCTACCAAGCGAGGACCCACTCAACTTCATTCGAGAATTTTACAATGTCCTCAACACTTTCCCTTTCAATGACCTTAATGACGAGCAGTTGAAGCTGAGGTGCTTTCCGAAGACACTGAAGGATCGGGCTAAGGCCTGGTTCATGACGCTTGCACCCGGCTCTCTCACGACATGGACTGAGGTGTACACCAAGTTCATTGGGAAGTATTACTCCCATCAAAAGACTCAGGAGCTTCGGTCCCAGATCGTCTCATTTGCTCAGTTACCGAATGAGCCTCTTCACGAGGCTTGGGAGCGGTTCAAGGATCTCCAGCGGCAGTGCCCCCATCACAACCTCTCTCCGGGGCTACTCATGAATTGTTTCTACGATTCCCTCCACCAGAACTTGCAGTATATGGTCGACAACGCGGCAGGAGGAGATATCAGAGCAAGAACAGCCGAGAAGATGTATGAGATTTTCGAAACGATGAGTACTAACTCGTCGCAAAAGAGCACTCGAGGGAGAAGAGCATTAGTGAATGAGATCGGTGCAAGTAATGATATGGTGGCCCAACAGCTAGCTGAGCTTACTGAGCAGATGAGGTTGCTTACCGCACGAGGATCCCAGCCGGTTAATACTTTCGCTGTTGATACATGTGGGGCGTGTGGAGTCCCAGGGCATAGGTCCGAAGTATGCCCCTCGTCATTTGAGCAGGATTCTGGAGAGCAGTATGCGGATGCCAGCGCCTTGCAAGGATACTAGAATCGGCCAGTCAATGACCCATATTCCAACACGTACAATCCCGGATGGCGGAACCACCCACACTTCTCGTGGTCAAACAACTCAAACACCCTTCAGCCACCTCGTCCGAACTTCATGCAGCAACAACCTCGACCCAACCTTGTGCCCCGGCCGAACTACCAGCCACAGCAGCCACAACAGCAGCAGAGGGGACTGGAAGCGGGGTCGAGTTCGAACCTCCAAGACGACATTGCCAAAATTCTTCAATTTATGGCCAGCAGTGAGCAACGAAGTGTCAATCAGGAGGCCTCCATCAAGCGTATTGAGACGCAGTTAGGCCAACTGGCCACACGGGTCGGAGTCCTCGAGACTGAAATGAACGAGGGGAAGTTGCCCAGTCAGCTGGAGCATGTGAATTCAGTGACCGTTATTACGCCCGACTTGGAGGAGACGAAGGTAGACGAGGGAGAACAAGAGGCAGAAGAATATCCAAGGAAGTTAGAGCAAATAGAAAAGGGCCCAGCGGCACCACCTTCCGTGCCAACCTTGCATAAGTCCCCAAGTCCATACAGACCAAGGTTTCTTCACCCATG